GCGCTGCTGGTGGAAGAAGCCCAGGAAGAAACCTGTTCAGGCCCAGCCGACGGCTTCTTGCGGTTGTGGACTCGTCTTGCTGTTTTATTGTTTTAAAGTTTTATTTCAAGGTAGTTGGAGATTTGGAGCTGCTTGAGGAAATCCCAGTCCCAGAATCTCAAAGGAAGAGCGTGGTCGTGTCAGGGTCTGACGTGGGTTCTGCTCTCAGAACAGTGTCCCCTCTGAAGGGCCAGCAGTTCCAGGCCCTGGGTAGATGGCCTTCATTTAGATCTCGCCTAGGCCCATCTTAGAGATGTAGAAACAGAGACACAGAGAGGTTGCCTTGTCTTAAGGTCACACAGCAAACGAGGGAGGGCAGGATTAGAACTCAAGAGGAGAACCGGAGCACCTGCTGTCCCTCCCTATTTTAGCTCTGCATCTTGTCACAGGTGGAAATGGGTGGGTGGGTTGCGATTCTCCAGTCCCATATTTCCTACTCTGCCAGGGGCACGGGCAGGGCCTCAGGCCACCACCCCTGGCTCACTCTGCAGACCCCTGCTGCCTTCCCCTAGGTGCCTAGTTGTGTGGCCTGTGGTGAGAAGGACGCGCAAGGCCAGGCTCCCCGCCTCCTGGGAGAGCTTCAGGGCAGAGTCAAAGCGAGGGAGAGAGCGAGGTGATCCGAGGTGCAGTCATGACCTCCACGGGGGAGGTTTTGGGGTGCTCTGGCAGAAAGGTTACGTGTCTAATAAGTGACACAGCGATTCTGTGTCAGCTCTGCGCTCTCACTTGGGCCTCGCCTGGCAGTGCGTGGCCTGATCAGGGCAGGCCACGCAGTTGCCAGGAGCGCTTGTGTCCTGCAAACTATGGCCCCCTACTCTGGGGCAGTCCTGTTGCTGGAGGTGGAGATACCGGGTGAGCTCCGTACAGCAGCAGCCCCCAGGGAGCTGAGACAGGGGCTAGACAGGTAAACAGGTGGCTGTGGTATGTAGAAGGAAGACAGTGGGCTGTGGAGTCCGGGCCTGGGTCTATTCCTGCTCCCCACCTGCTAGCTTCATTATTATTGTTGTTATTTATTAGTTGTTGATGGACCTCTGTTTTATTCATTTATGTATATGCTGAGATCCGAACTCAGTGCCTCACACGTGGGAGGCGAGGGCTCCACACTGAGCCCAGCCCAGCCCCACACCTGCTGGCTCTGAGGCTCCAACTCCTCCCTCGGGGCCCCAGTTCCTCATGTGCAGCGGCCAGTGTCTGCCTCGCAGGGCTGGGTGGGAGCTGGGTGTTGGCAGGTGATAAGAGCTTAGAGCCCTGCTGGGCACGCAGCATGCGGTGCTGGGCCCTGCACGGTCAGGCTAGCAGGGGGTGTGACAGTCACCATATCTTGCAGCTTCCCAGGGAGGAAGCAACTGGCTGATGGGAGCCAAGGACAGGGCTGGGCCACCAGAGAGTCCTTTCCGAGGAGGTGAGGTGAGGGCCGGTGCCCACAGCCGTTGGTAAGAAAGGGGATCGGCATGGAGACACCTGAGGGGGAGACCAGGGCAGAGGACTCGCCCGCCTGGGCCCCTAAGGTGTGAGAGAGCACCCCACTTCAGAAGCAGCCAGGGTCAGCACCCCGCCAGGCAGGCCTGCAGGGCACAGGGCTACAGGTGGAGCCCGATGAGGGTCTGGAGCTCAGGAAGAACCGGGTCAGAGATGTGACGGGAGGGACCTGGTCTGCAGGGGACCAGCTTGTCAGCCACCACCCAGCCTAGAGATGACACATCTGGTACCACGGTGGCCAGGGTGGGGAGGGGATGGCCCAGTGCCCGGCACAGCACCTGGGCAGACCGCTCCCTGAGATGGGACACAGGAAGAGGCAGTGACACCTTCCGGCATCTTCCATCGAGGTCCCTGCAGGGCGCTCTAGGGTGAAGACCCCAGGGAGTGAGGACACGCTCCTGCCCCCGTGCTCCCTGCCTCCCTGGTCCTTCCTGGGCCCTAGAGGGTGGCAGGAGTTCGCCTGCCCTGAGAAGGAGAGGACGTGGCATGTCCAGTGGGAGCGAGAAGGCAGGGAGGGAGCAGAGGACAGGAGGAGAGGGACAGAGAAAGGAGGCTCATCTCCGAGGGGAGGATGCTGGGAAAGAGGCCGGGAGCCCAGGCGGGCACAACGGATGCCCGGCCAGGCTGCGCTGGAGACTCCCTGTGGCTTCCAGCTTAGTCCCATGTATTTCCAGATGTTTCTGGTTAGAAGTTCCGAGAAAATGCCTGGCCCTTCTGGATTCTGGCCCAGGGTGAAGAGAGCCGCAGGCGGATTCAGCTGTAGTTTCAGAGCCGCAGGGTGGGCCGGGGGCTGGGCCCACCCCGAGGGCATCTCGGGAGCCCAGGGGACATCTGGGTGCCTCACCTGTGGCTGCTCTGCTTTGCCCGGGGCTGGCCACGGAGACTCAGAGAAGAGCCCCGGGAGCAGCTGGTTTGATTTTGAATTCCAGCCACGTGTCCATGAAGGACAAGGGTCCAGAGAGGGGCAGGAGGATCACGAGCTTGAGGCCAGCCTGGGCAGCTGAGCGAAGACACTGTCCCCAAAGAAAATATAAAAAGCAGTGGTCAGCACTGGCCCCGCGAGTGTAAGACCTGGGTTCGTCCCCAGGACCACAGGAAGGAAGGACGACGGGACCTCAGAGATGTAGGCTTCGCTAGAAACCCTGTGCCACCACCCCGAAATCTGACTTAGGAGAGCAGAGTGGGGGGGCGCCTCCCTGGGCCGTGAGGGTCCTTGTCGTGGGCCCTGAGGAGGACACTGGGCCTTGAGAAGACAAGAGGGCAAGACTCGTCCTGTGACATACACGTGTTCCAGGTCCTGTTCCCCCATGTTGAGATGGATCACCCCAGAAATACCAGGGCGAGGGCACAACCTTTTATTGGAAGGACAGAACAGAGAGAGTCCTCCGCAGAGGAGGGGGTCCAAGTGGGGGCCCCGGGAGGGGGCTGTCCTGCCCCTTCTCAGGTCTCAGGTCCCTTTGTTGTCATGCCCTCTCCTCCCATCCTGCCTACCCCACCAGAAGGTGGAGGGACCCGAGGGAGGAGCTGGTTTCCTGGAGGCAGGTGACCGTGCAGCAGGAGGGGAAGGGGAAGCGCGCTGGAGTGTTAGCGTCTTATTTCCTCTTGGATCGGCCCCATCTTCCTGACCAACCATTACCCTCACTGCCCTTCCCCAGCCTCGGCCGTCTCTATGGAATGTCCTGCCTGAGCAGGTACCCACGGGAAGTTCTGATTCCGTAACTTCAGAAACGGGAGTTCACCAGGGCATCTCTCCTGAGTTGGGTCTAACGGTCACTGTCAGAGGGTCCTCGGACCCAGAAACCGTGCTTGTCCCCACAGGCCTGCGCCACCCACCAGCCTGTCACCTGCAGGTGCATCTGTTGGAGGGCAGGGTGGGGTGGCACTGGTCAGGCTCTTGGTCTGGCTTGTCAATGAATGACCCATTGGCCTAGAATTTTCCAGCTCATTCTGTTTCTCTCCCAACCTCCTGCAGACCCTCTGCCGGGTGCCTCCCTCAGGGCAGCAGACCTGAGCAGGAACACCGGCCATTTCTTGGGGAGCAGTAGATTTGGGGTTTTTTTTTTTAGATTTTTGTTTTTTCAGAAGAAAACAAATAGACAAAGCCCCCCTCCACCCACTTGTGGCTTTGCTTGGAGGGACAGGCAGGAGGTGACACATGAGCCATGGGGAGGCCCAAGGCCAGCTCCCCTGGGAAGGCTGTGGTGGCCTGTCCCCACTGCCCCCAGGTGCTCTTGTTCCCTGGAACTGGGGGTCTCCCCAGGAGGCTCTAGTGGGCACTGGAAGTGCATTCATTCATGACAATCGGCCATGCCCTCAGCTGCCGCCTGCCTTGACCCCACTTGCTCGTCTGAACCCCTCTGTTCGCTGCCACCGCTCTGAAGCACCACTTAGTGTATAAATAAAGGCCCCGCGCCGCCCCCGGCTCCGCAGGGCAATTATGTCTGCGAAGCTTCCTTTCTGGAAGCCTGGTGGGGGAGGGGGCCGCACCTCCCTGTCCCTGCTGTCCAGCCTGTTCCTGTCACTCTGGGTACAGCCCAGGCAGGGCCAGCCACGGTGTCCTACCTGTCCCCTGCTCCCTTGCCTCCGGTCTGCACTCTGTGCCCCACCCTGTCCCCTCCTTGGGTGGCCTTCTCTCTGTGCCCAGCTCGCTCCTCCCGGTCTCTACGCCCTGTCTTAGGAAAAGTGGTGGCTTCCCCGCCACTGGGCCAGCGCTCTGGCCCTGCCTCAGCCACCTGTGCCCAGTGAGAGCCAGAGGCTAACTGATCCCTCCTCGGGAAAGCCACTGCTGCCTCACGTCACCCTCACGCCCACCCCGTGGCTGTGAGCACACACCTATAGGCCATCATAACTCCTGTCCCCACGGCCACCTGGGGCGAGGTATTGTTTGGCCCATTGTACAGGTGAGGAAGTGGAGGCTTGGGCGAAAGCCCGGGCCTTGCCGCTGGTAACTGCCAGATCTGGAGCCCGACGCCAGCCTCCTGTGGGTCCCTGGGTTGTCCCTGGCCCCCCTGTGCCGTCATCTCTTCCTCCTCCAGGTCCTTCCTGTGGGACACATCCTCTCTCCCCACGTCTTATCGAACTTGGAATTGGGCTTCCTCAGTCCCTTGGCCCGGGGCCTGTGTTTAACTGAGCAGTTTGTCCTTCCCTGGCACGGAGCCCTGGGTGGGCGGTGGGCAACCTGCTGGGCAGGGGACAGGGTGAGTGGACCCATCCACAGCCCACAGAGGGGCCCAACGGAGCCCTAGTGGCACTCCAGGGGGAAGCTGATATGGTCACATGCAGGCCTGAGGCTCCCTGTCCCTCTCTCTGCCTTGAAGTCCCCAACCTACCACTTGTTAGTCACCACCCCAAGGAGCCAGAGGAAGTGCAAGGACAAGTGACATCAGCCAGTCTTCCCTCCTGTTGGCATCTTGGGGCAAAGGACTACTGGGCAGGGTGAACGTGGGGAATTTCTTCATCTTTTTATGAGTTTCTAGAAGATACGGCGCCTTCTCTGGGCCACTCACTGGGCATGCCCAGTGTGATCACCACCGTTACAACCACAGGGGCTTCCACCACATCCAGACGTCCTGGGCGGAGCAGGCCTGAGCTCCTCCCAGCAAATACTCTCGGGTTTTGTTCAGCATTGATTTTGTGGGTTGGGGGAGAGGCTGATTCTCTGTAAAAATTGTATCTTGAAATCAATTCATTTCTCCCACTTGCCCAAGCAGGGTCGTTGAGCTTAAAAAAAAAAAAAAAAAGATTTTCCCCAGTTCTTGCTTCACTTTTTAAAATGAGCGCCCCAAATTGGGCCAGCGCAGGGGAGCCTCGCCCTTGTTCCTTATTCTGGATGATAAACTAGGTCACTTGCTCCTGCTTGGATTCAGAATTCCCACCGACTGTGGCTCCTCGTGTATGGAGTCACAATGCTCCTCTTGGTTGGGGAGGTGGCCAGGGTGTCCTTTCCAGCACTCGGCCTGTCCTGGCACCACCGCATTGATGGCTCTGTAGTGACACTGGAGCAGGTCCCAGGCTGGCCTGCCCTCGCTCTGTCCGAGGACCCATCCCCACCCCACTGCTAGGCCTGCTGGGGAGGCGGAGCAAGAAGACCCCTCCTCCCTCTGTACCTCGCAGCTGCACCCACACAAAGGCAGAAGCCCCGGGCTCCAGTCCTAGCCCCGTGGCTCCCAGGCACAAGTGGGCGAGTGCCCGTCTCAGGGCCTCAGCTGGCCATCTGAAGAAGCAGGCTGGGAGTGGGTGGTGGCAAAGGCATTTCCAACCTTGAAGCTCCGTGTTCTAGGCCATACAAGCAGAGGGGTCTTCACGCCTCGGATGTCCTGAACTCGTGGTGTCTTATCCCCTTCTGGGCCCCAGGTCAACGTCTGTGACCCCTCCTGTGCTGTGTGTGCGTCCGGAGGTCCTCGTCCTGGCCTTAAGAAGCAGATGCTCAGCTCCTCAGTGAGCAGCTGGCGAATTCCGTTGGGCTCGTCCCTGTAGCACTCCGTGGTTGGTGGCCTTCTGCCAGCTGCCATTGGGACTGTACACGGGCCGTCCTTCTTGAAAAAGGAAAAAGGCCGTGAGTGGACAGACAAATCTTAGTACTAAAGACATTAATGTGTAGGCAGAGAGCTGACTGCCCTGTGAATCCTGCCAGTATTGGGTACCTTTTTCTGGAACCCATAAGATGCCGGGCCCCACCCCAGCAGCCTCAGAGGCTGGAAGTGAGCTGAACTCACGCTGTTGATGGTGATTGGCGTCTCAGAGAGCCTGAGATAAAGGGGCCTGGGTGATGGTGGGGAGATGGCCCTTGGGGCCCAGGTTGTTGCGATTGCCAAGGGTGGAGAAGAGGGGTTCCAGAAACGTGAGGCTTTAGAGCCCCAACTTCAGAGCTGGTACCTCCTCTCCTCTCGGCAAAAGGCTCCCGTCCCCTCACCAGGAATATACACCACGCAAAAATGAAAGCCCCAGAGAATGCTCCCATGTCCCTTTAGGACAGTGGGGAAATGGGGTATCATTGAAACTTGCTCCTTTATTAAGAAATAAATCAGCCTTTGGGGTATCTCTCACCCCGTGGCCCACTCACTCCTAAATCCCATCATGCTTCGCCGTCCCGTGGCTCATCTTTACCGGCTGGAGCACTGCTCCTTAGACCTCCATCTCCTCAACAGCTGCCCATCAAGGGCCTGCCATCACATCTGTCTGTCTCCTCCGTCAGCAAGACACTGAATCTCCGTGAACCAGGCGTTTTGTAGGATGACAAATGTATTTGACATTGACCGCAGAGCCTGCTCGGGTGAAGCGCAGGGCTAAGTCAGCAGTCCTCAGAGTGGAACAGAGGCCACCAGCCCCACGATTGGAGTCGCGGGATCACTAGCAGGCCGCGGTCCAGGCCGTGCACCTTGCCCCCCCCCAGCTGACCTGCTCAGGTGGCATCTGAGCATCCACACTGTCCCCGCAGCCCGCTGTGTTTCTTACCTATGCTGCAGATTGAGAACCGCTGCCAGGCAGAAGGCAGAGGGACCAGCCGGCTGTCCTGCCAGCCACTGACAAAATGACCCGCTGTGAGGTTTGTGACAGTTACTACTTCCTGAGCACTCGAAGTGTCCCGGGTACTGTGCTAAGTGCCTTCCCTGTGGGTTCTCAATCCTAAAACAACCCCGAGGAGTACTACTCTTACTGTGCCCAGTTTACAGATGGGGAAACTAAGGCCGGAGGGAAGTCGAGTGACTCAGGCAAAACATCAGTAGAAGAGGCTGGAAAGAGAGTCTGGGAAGAGGGTCAAGCGCAGAGCCATGAAAGCCAGCTGGCTCAAGGGGTGAAGCTCCAGGAGAACCTGGAGGGCCCCTCTTCCCAGAGTGTCGCCCTCAGGGAGGCCGTCTCCATGGGGGAGGGGAAGCCCTCCTCCCTCTCCACCAGCGGTGACTTCCCAGAGCCCAGAGCTGGCCGGCAGGTGCACCGCCCGCCTGCCCCGCTGCCTTCAGATTTCCCAGGCAATCCAACCCCCCCCCCCCGAGCAAGCAGCGCAAGAGCAGCGTCCCTTCCCCGCCATTGTCCCTGTTGCAGGCCACCATTCATCCGAAGCCAGTCCAGCTTGGCAGCGGCCCCATTCCTGTTCCGACGCCCCTCCCGCACCCTGCCCAGGCCTCCGGAAGCCCAAACAGAGGCTCTGAGATGTGAATCAGGCCCTTCCAGCTGCACCTGGCCGGCCGGAAGGGAGCCCCGTGCCACACGCCCTCGTGGGCAGCGCTGGGGGCCCCTGACCAGCATTCGGTTCCCTTCCTCCTTCCTCCTGGCCTCCCCAGATGGTGGGCGGTGCCAGGGTCCTCCCCTCCTCCAGGGCTGCCGCAGTCACCCGGGGCTCGGCGCTGGCCTTAACAACCCTGAGGAGTCCCAGGAGCCCGGCTGCTCATCGGCCTCCACCTCTGGGCTGGTGCGGAGCCCTGAAGCCGCAGCTGCAGGCGGGGTGCCAGGCCCACAGGGGGCAGGGGGCAGGGGTAGGCACCAGAGCCAGCTGCCTCGCAGCCGCGGACCCTGCACAACGCCTGCCACCCCGCACTGGATCCTTCCTTCATTCCCTTGATGAATCTTAGAGTGTCTGTTACGTGCCAGGCACAGGGAATACAACAGTGAACCCCCAAAATGAAGAGTATCTACTCCAGAGCTCGGGGTGTGACTCCGTGGTAGATATGTGCTTGGCCTGCAGGGGCCCTGGTTCCTTTCCCACCACCACCAATTAAGAAAAAAAGAAATCTGCCCTCTGCCCTCTTCAAGATCCAGAAGGGAGAGACCAGCAAAATAAGTCAGTTGTGATAAGTGGGTCAGAAGCAGGTGGGTGCTGAGGTCAGGGAAGGGGATGGGGAGAGCTGAGACCCCAGAGGTTTCTCTTTTTTGGGGGGGTGTACCAGAGATTGAACCCAGGAGCGCTTAATCACTGAGCCACATCCCCAGCCCCTTTTAAATATTGTATTTAGACACAGGGTCTCTGAGTTGCTTAGGGCCTCGATAAGTTGCTGAGGCTGACTTTGAACTTGTGGTCCTCCTGCCTCAGCCTCCTAAGTCACAGGGATTAACAGCTGTGGGCCTCCCCAGCCAACCAGAGGTTCCTCTTAATGGCCACCCTGACCCTGAGTTTTTCGGGATGCATCTGGGGGTGGCCAGTGCCTAGCTGGTTCCACCTGGCTGTTTTGTAGTCGGCTCTGGGGTCCTTTAGCTGAGCAGGGGCAGCTGGCTTTGGGGCATCGGGGCTCCAGCAGGGGCAGTCCTTCCCATCCTGGAGTGACCGGGAGAGGCTGCAGGCGGTGGCCCTCAGGCAATCCCAGCCCAGTGAACGAAACCGTCCCAGGATCACACACTGGTCCTGCTCAGTCCAAGCCTCTACTTTACACCCTGGCATTGGACCTCCCTGCCAGGGCAGCCCTGGGATCCCAGAGAACTGGCCACAGCTGGAGCCATTCCATCTGCTCTGGGTGAGACCGGAGCCTCAGAAGCGTTTGATGCTCCCCTGGCTCTCCTGGAGATGGGAACTCCCAGCTGGGTCTGCAGACCTCCTCAGGCAGGATCTCTGAGTGCAGTCTGCCTGGATTAGAACCCCAGCCTCAGTTTTTTGGTTTGTTTGTTTTGTTGGGGATTGAACCCAGGGCCTTGCGCGTGCCAGGCAAGCACTCTACCAACTGAGCTATATCCCCAGCATGCCCCCCACCCCGCCTCAGTTTCCGGATCTCTAAGTTGGGAATACGAGTGATACCTGCCTCACAGAGTGTGAGGATTAACAATGGCTGGAACATAGTAGGTGCTCAATAAAATGGTAGCTGTGGAAAGGTGTGCCTCTCTCTTGCTATAGCTGTGGTTTCCACAGTAAGTCCTGGTGACCAGCCCTCTCCCTGAGTTTAAGAATTGCTGGACCAGAAGGAAATGTAGTAGACTCGGAGCAAATCAGCTCCACGGGTTCTGTCCCTTCCCCCAGTTCTGCAATGAAAGACAAAAGAATGCATCAGAAATATTCCGATTTTTTCAAACACAGAAGCTGAGGCTGCGCCTGAGCTAATGCTCGTGAAAGGCAGATTCGGACAGTCCTAGTCACTGGAAGCTTCCAGAGTTACCTGTTTCTCTGGATTTCCATTTCCCTGCATGTCCCCTACCCGAGCATTGAGATGAGCAATGGTTCTTCCTTGTGCGTGGGTCTCGCATCTGAGGGAGGTTGCAGACATCACAGGAGATGTTTTAACTTAAGGGAAACCAGCTCCTCTTCCTTTTAAGATGAAACGGTAGTAAAATTTTAAAGGCTTTGTCCAACAACCTCTATATTTGGTACTTAAAGTAATTATAGTTGCCTTTTTTAAATGTCCAAATTAAAAATAGACATTGCAAGGAGATCACAGGACACAGCCCAGAGCCAGGAGCCATGTCCACGGTTTCCGAGAATCAGCCTCCCCTGACCTCATGGGTACTTCGGGGAGATCAGAGGGGCATGAACGGAGCTGGAGACTGGGGCTGGGGAACGTCTAGGAGCGTCCCGGCAGCAGATGGTGAACCTGGATGCTGAGCGCTGTGATTAACAAGAGCTGTGAACTGGAGAGAGACGGTAGATCACAGACATTTCCACAGAGTAGAAGTGTGGTTCTCAAAGTGTGGTGACCGGACCATCAGCACCAGCACCACCTGGGGTTAGGGGTTGAACTGGGTCCCCTTGCCCCAAGTTCATGTCAAATTCTCAACCCCAAAGTCCCTCAGAATGCGACTGTGGTTGGAGACGGTGTCTTTGAAGAGGTGATCGTATAAAAACAAAATGTCCAGACAGCAGTCTAATCCTTAGAAAAAGAGGAGACCCCGGTGGGGCCTGATCAAGGGAGGGTGTGTGAAGAGGCAGGAAGATGGGCAGTCATCCTTGAGCCAAGGAGGGAGTCCCCGGAACACCAGCCCTGCCCAGCACCTTGATCTTGGGCTTCAGCCTCTGAAACTGTGGGAGAATGCCTTCTGTCGTTTAAACCCTCCAATCTGGGGTCCGGCTGCCCTAGCAGACTCACACGCTGGGAACCTGCTGGAAATGCAGATTCTCAGGTCCTGTCCCCGACCTGCTGACTCATCAGTTCTGGGAATGGAATCCAGCAAACTGCTTTATGTGACTTCCATGCACACGAAAGCTTGAGAACCAGTCGATAGTTATTATTGACCCAGGAGAGAATGATGTAGGTGTGGAAAGAAGGAAAGGCCCTTTCGTAGGCTCTGTGGTCTCTGGGAATGTCTCAGTGGGCTCCTTGATTGACAGGTATATAAAAGGGGTCTGTAGACAGGGGACATGGAAGCAACATGCCTCAGACATTGCAGTCTTCCTCATCACAAATTCTAACATGTTGTTATCCACGAAGGAACATGGAGATTGTCCTGCCCATCTTGGTGTGATGGCAGAGGAGTCCTGTCTTCCCTGTGGCCTGTCCAGGGCTCCCCTTCATCCAGGATTCCTGAACCAAGCTTCAAGGAATCCACAGAATTTCTAGGGATCTGGAGTTGTGTTTAAGATTTTATGAATTTTGTGTTTTTTTATTTTGATGACAATCTTTTGAAAAAGTTCAAGCATTTCTGGGTTATCAGCCTCACCCCCTGACACCCTAGTCCTGCCACGGGATGCCCTGGCACACATGTTCACCCATGGTGTTTGGTGGCACCAGGTGGCTCCATTTTATTGTTTTTAGCTAATTCGAGGTGGGTGGAGAACAAAATGTGTGGACGGTGTACTTGTACCAAGTAAAAAGGCAACTGGAGTCACAGCTGTGGAGTGCTGGAGTAAGTGGGAATGAGAAGCCGGAACCCTAGTGGCCACGCAGCACAGTAGCAGGGATTTCAGAAGGGCCTGCCCAGAGCCCCCAGAGAGCTCCACAGGATCCCGCAGGACCTCATTCCCATAAAATACCCCCCACTGTGCTGAGGTATTCATCTGAGTGTCTGCTTTTGTTTTGGTCTTGGAGCTGGATACCTGGTCTTATATTTGTGCATAGTTTCGTGATGACGTATTTTTAATCAATCCAGTCAACACTATTCTGAAATTGTTTGAAAACTAAAAAGCATTAAAACATGTTTTTAAAGACTTGAACACAGGTGAGTTTCCTCTGGACGTGGCTCAGCTTTGAGAAGCTCTCTGGCCCCAGGCGCCCTGAGGGAGGTCATGTGACCTGGCTGTGGCAGCTGGTCTCCTCGCCTCCTTCTCTGCTGTGGAAGAGAAAAAACCCACAAATGCCACATTTCAAAGCCCCATTGAATTATTTTCCACTTCTGCCATTGGAGGGATTGGAGGGAAAGTGACTCCAATGTCTGGGGTCCATGTTCCCTCCTCTGTGGCCAGGACGCTGAAGCACAGCCTCCCTGGGGATCTAGAAAAGGGGGAGGGGACCCCCTCACTCTTCCGCTCATCTTAGGAATTTCATTGCCTTCAAAATTATCCTGAGCAACTCAAACGGCAAAATCGATGGGCCCTGTTTTCCTCGTGCTCTTTCCATTTCCTTGAAGGACCTTTTTCTTCTTAATGGCATTGCTTACCAGCCCAGGTCGCCCATGAGTGCTCCTCTTACCGTGATGGATACATCTGCTTCCAAGTCAGGAATTGCAAAGGTCAGAGTTTCTCTATTCAAAATAAATATTAATTGAATTCAGTGACCTGTGGCAAAACTATAGAGCTGGCAAGATTGATCTTTGAGATTCCCAACCTTCTCTCTTAGGTTTCTTTTTTCTCCTTTCATAAAAGAATGCACACCTGTTAACCCCCCTGGACCAGCCCCGGAATCCTTGGGACAAAGGGGGAAGTGGGTCCCGGGTTTCCCAGGAGTGCCTTTCGGGGATGAAGGGCAGGGGTAGGAATGAGGCTGGAAAAGCAGTTTGGTGCTGGAGCTGGAGGTCAGCAGACCCGTGTATGGTGCGGAGTCTTCTTGGGACAAGGAAGAAATCAGGACACCATGTCACCTGCAGCTCCTGCAGCCATTCCACAGCCTGGTGTTGTCCCTAACTTGAAGCACAACTAACAACTCCTTTTCTGTTTAAAGGAAGGGACTAGCCCACACTCTGGAGAGCAGGGGAGGTGTCATGGCTCTGAGCCTACAACAGGGTGTCATCCTTCCCAGCGGGTCCCTGAATCCCTGGGTACTGGTGACCAGGATGGCCGAGCACAGGGCATGGTGGTCTCCTGTTTCCGAGTCCAGAGAACTGGCACAGACTGGACAGTCCTTGGGTAGAAACCTTTGTTCCTGAAATTTAGAGGAGCACAGACGTGTCCCAAGCACAGACATGTCCCTCTATCGAGACTCGTAGCTCTTTGCCTAGACTGTGACCACACAGGTTAGGCCCTCCCCACGCCCTTCCCGCACCCGGGGAGGTCTAGCTGCGTGTCTGGACGTGGCCAAGTGGAAAAGTTCCAGACGCCCCCTGACCTGTGTCCCCCCTCTTGTGTCCCCTCTGCAGCTGGAACTCTCCAACACGGCCGTCCTGCACCAGATGAGGCGGGACCAGGTGACCAACACGTGCCGAGCCCACAGCGCCCTGAGCCGCAAGCGGCGGGTGCTGACCCCCAACGACCTGAAGCACCTGGTGGTGGACGAGGACCACGAGCTCATCTACTGCTACGTGCCCAAGGTGGCGTGCACCAACTGGAAGCGGCTCATGATGGTCCTGACGGGCCGCGGCAAGTACAGCGACCCCATGGAGATCCCGGCCAGCGAGGCGCACGTGGCGGCCAACCTCAAGACGCTCAACCAGTACAGCATCCCCGAGATCAACCACCGCCTCAAGAGCTACCTCAAGTTCCTGTTCGTGCGCGAGCCCTTCGAGAGGCTGGTGTCCGCCTACCGCAACAAGTTCACGCAGAAGTACAACACGTCCTTCCACAAGCGCTACGGCACCAAGATCATCCGGCGCCAGCGCAGGAACGCCACGCAGGAGGCGCTGCGCCGCGGCCACGACGTGCGCTTCGAGGAGTTCGTCGCCTACCTCATCGACCCGCACACGCAGCGCGAGGAGCCCTTCAACGAGCACTGGCAGACGGTGCACTCGCTGTGCCACCCGTGCCACATCCGCTACGACCTCGTGGGCAAGTACGAGACCCTGGAGGAGGACTCCAACTACGTGCTGCAGCTGGCGGGCGTCGGCGGCTCGCTCAAGTTCCCCACCTACGCCAAGTCCACCCGAACTACGGACGAGATGACCACCGAGTTCTTCCAGAACATCAGCTCCGAGCACCAGACGCAGCTCTACGAAGTCTACAAACTCGACTTTTTAATGTTCAATTACTCAGTGCCAAGCTACCTGAAATTGGAATGAGGGGCGGTGGGGGTGGGGGGTGCGGTGGGGGTGGGGTGGGGTGGGGTGGGCGCCGGGGAGGGGAGCGGGCAGAGGGAGAGAGTCATGCTTTTTAATTTAAGATTTTTATTTGTCAAAAGAATTCTATGGATATTGGGTTATTTTGTAAATTAATATTGCTTTGGGGAACGTGCTGCGAGCAGCATGGTGAGAATTATTTAAAGTCCTTCGAAGGGAGGGACCGCCGTCTTCAGCAGGGGAAGAGGGTGGATTGTCCTTGTTTTCAGAAGTGAATACTGCAACACTGTCTCAGAGGTTTCCTTGTGTCCTGGTGAATTCCATGGTGACTTGTGCATTCCATGAGTTCTGATTAATGTTATTTATAGTTATTTAAACACGGTCTCCGTATAGATTTCTTTTTGGCAGCAGAACGCCGAGGTCCCCTGAAGAAATCTATGGTTCCAGCTTTGCTCGCTGCAGCTCATTGGGGGGCACGATGTTCTCCCTACTAACCTCTCATGGGGTCGTCTGGTGACAATCCTTGTGATGCGTGTGGATGCCACTGTTCTTGAAGTTCTGCTGGAGATAAATAGGTCACTATTGCACTCAGAGGCATCTTCCCAAGGGGCTAATTCCAAACCCAATGCAATTGACCCCAAAGTCCCTTGCCATAAAGAAATGTGACTTTTTTTTTAAACCCAAGGAGAGAGCTGATTGTAGCAATTTTTTTTCACCAAAATTAGCAGCCTGATAGAATAGGCTTTTTTTAAACAGAAAATTTTAACTGGCAGTGCCGGTTGTGGTGAAGGTGAAGCAGCTGTTGCTTTATGGCCAACAAGTATTTATTGAGCATCTACTATATTCTAGGTTCAGGTATAGGCCCTGCAGACAGAGCATTGAACAAACCCAGTAGACTTAGCCCTCAAGAAGCTTTACGTGGACACAGAGCATCCAGCTCGACATTAACCAGGCCCCTGATCTTCACGGACTTCAAGTGGGGTTTGGACTCTTTGTAACTCTAGAAGGCCCGTGAGCCCTACATATTTGCATTTTTCTCTGGCCCAAATTTGAAAACCACACGCTTGGATCAGGCTACTCAGTGAGTAATCTAAGGTCATTACCCAAGAAATAGCAAAAATATTTCCTATTTTGTGCCCTGAAGCCCCGGAAGGGACTCTCCAGGCACAGCGTGGAAGAGTGCTGTGACCGAGGTCTGGTTGGGTAAGGAGAGGAGAAGGTCCTCAAGTGCCTCCTCCCGCCATGTCCAGTCAACATCCGCATCCCCGGGTGGAGGTGTCTTCTACGCTTCCCAGGTACACACTTGGGGAGTTGCAACAGGCTGCATTTATGCCCCTTGTAAAGATCAGAGGTGGGCTGTGTGGGCACGTGCTTACCCGCCCACCTTCCCCATCCTGCAGAGGCTAAGAGACCCTCCGAACCTTCGTGACTGCCAAGCATGGGCGGCAAGGACAGCCTCCCGCCCTCTTCATCCACACTCCTTTCCTCTGGAAGGCTGCCACCGGCCACTCCTGTTCCTTGCTGATTAACATCCAAACCTGCTTCTCAATTCCAGCCATTTCCAGCGCTTTCTCGGTGGAAATTTGAGCCACATCCCTCTTACAGCTAGTGAATGAGTCGGTAGCAGATACTGTATATAATAATAATAATAATAAAAATAATAATAATAGTTCTAATAATAGGGGAGGGTGGGATGGGGTGTGGGTAAGTTTTGCTTTTTGTTTTTGACGCAATATAGAGTGAAGGGGTGAGAATATTTTAAACAGAAATGAATAATTTATCTCAGAAACTATTAAAGTTGTGTTGTAAAGCTCACAGCGAGCTCCGTGAGCAGCAGCTGCAGCATCTCAACGAGGAGATTATTTCATTTAACCTGAGGGAGAGGTGTGCCAGGGAGGTGGCTGAGGTATTTATAAAACATCACGTGTCTTCTGGGCTCTCTCCTCTTTGGAGAGAGGGCACAGCAACTTTGCCCTTCGTGGACAGAGATCTATGCAGTGTGTTTGAGCAAGTAGAGTGACAGACCCTGGCTGTCCCTGCAATTGAGAGTCTGGACCTTATTTCCAGGCGAGAGACAGTGTCCTCAAGAGATAGGGCTTCTGTTGAAGCAGGTCGTGCTGCATGTCCTAACCCGTGCTCTACACGACAGGGGCTCTCTGGGACGTTGAGTTGGTGTGATGCAGATGAGGTTGGTGGTCAGATGTCCTTGGGAAACCAAGTTGAGCGAGTCTCTTTTCTGAGTGGAGAAGGCGTGTAGTGCATGGTGAACCCCAAGGCCATCTGGGAGTCGGGGCATTTCCTGCACTTGGCATGACCAGGAGGCTCTGTTTTGCATGTTAACTCCCAGAGCTGATGTCCCGCAGAGGGTGCTTCGGTTAGGATGAGGCAGCCCCTCCAGGGTCTGCAAGGGTCAACCCCCTTGGATCCTTGTTTTTGCTTTTGCCCCCCCCCCTCCAAAAACAAACAAGCAAAACTGCCACAGTCTGGCTGGGCACAAATGCCGCAGTCTGGCTGGGCACACAATCACGAGCCACCACACAGCTTGTAGATTCAAACAGCAACTCTTTATTCCCGAACTCACACCAGCCGTCTACAATCACATTCTGGGGAAATCCACGTTCTCTGCCCAAATCCACCTCCACTGGGCTTCTATCTCCAAAATATACTGTCTGAATCCCGTGAGAACTCAAGGGGAACTCAGGCAGCAGGATACGCCCTATTCCCAGCAGGAATAATCTTAAACCTTAAACCTGGAACCTAAACTGGGAACGCCCTAAACACGATTATCTTAAAACCGGGAACACCCTAATCTGCCTTGGTCCTTGAGCAAGGTCACCTACATTCAATGTCGCTGCAACATGTCAGCAACATAGGGTACGCTGGCAAGGAAATTGTCATACCTACTTGGCTAATGGCTCCCAGCACAAAACCAAAATGGCGCCAGTCTCCATCTGGTTTCCAGCCTCAGAGGATTAAATGTTGACTTCAGTGCAAGGCGTCTAATCCTGGACACCCCCACGGACAGCTAGCACCACCCCCAGAGTGGAGGGAAGTCTTGGGTGGTGTGGACGGAAGGGCAGGAGTGGGGCAGAGTGCATAAGGCCACTGAGGGCCCCGCTGCCCTGCCTCCAGTCTCTCCATGGGAACAGACGACCCTGGCGGAGGCTTCTGCAAGTCCACAGCCTGCAACTGTTCACTGTGTGCTTTTTTCCCCTGGTTTTCATGGAAATCCACACTGGTTTCCGTGTTGGCACCCTCTGTCTCCTTCCTGTGCAAGCTCGCCCAGTGCCGTGTGCAGATGGCCTTTCATTGGCTTTTGTCTCTTAAGTGAGATAGATTGTCCTTCAGGGGACGAGGCGTCATGTCTGAAATGAGAAATTCTTTCTCTGCGTTCTGTTTTGTGTTCACGTTTTGTTTTCTAACGACATCAAATTTTTTTTAACAGAAATTGATGCAACCATTTTGCAGAATGTAGAACGTATTCTGTGTCCTTGGCTAAAGAAATCCATGGGTGAAGTGCGCCTGGGAAACGAAAGTCAGTGTTTCCTAAAGAAAAAAACAAATGTCTTAAGATGCTTCCTATTGCATGCAGAGCTGGAGAAAAGCGCGGGCCCGTGTCCCCAGCTCCAGGCCAGTTTTCAAAGGGGCTGCTGTGCTTTAAGACCCAGGTGGCATCAAGGCTGTATTTACGAGGACCTTCCTGCTTACCTGTCCCTTTGCTTGGAGAACTTGAGATTTTGTCAGCCGTGGGTTTGGTGCCTGCAGCCTCTCCAGACCCCCCCACTGCCCTCCCCAGCTGGTCTGGGAAGAAGGGCAGCCCAACAACCGGACTGTCTTAGAGGAGACCCCCCCTCCCTGCCCAGTGGGTGAGCCTCGCCTCCCCTCCTGCTGGTTCAGGGCAGTGGGAACTTTAGCAGAACCAGGCCTCCCAGAAACAGGCGAGCAAGCACGTGGTATAATCCACGCTATAGAAAACTCGAGAAAAAGAGTGCAAGGCCCTAGCACACTTAGAGTGCAAGGGACCACGATTATAAAAGTCCCTCTTCTAACCTGGCAAAAAGCAGAGGGTCTCGGCTAACTTTCTTAGACAGTTCTTCCCTGCGTGTGTGCATGAGCGCACACATACACACACACACACACATATACACACACGCTGAGCTGAGCTGCCCTGCCCTGCCCTGCCCTGTGCAATCCTGGTGACCAGGTCCCATCCTCCCCCACCTCTATGTCAGCAGGACTGACCACACTGCTTCCCTGAACCCCACCACCAGAGACCCCCCAGCCTTTCCCAGCATAACCAACAGGACCAGCTTGACCCTTGGCTGTGAACAGGCGGATTTCAGTCTCTATTCTTTGTTAGGTACAGAAGGGGCTGCCTGTATTTTTTTATGAGCATGCTCAGTGTGGCATATGGACATATAATTTAACATCTTTGTGGGGTGTGATTTTTTTCCTTTTACATATCTGTATGCAGTAGAGGGCCTGTTGTAGAAAACGCTCCCTGTGTCTTCCTGTACTGTTAAAGAAAGCTGAATTCCACATTGCCAACAAAAGCGTGAAATGTTCATGAACCTTCCTCCAGGAAAAGCCATTCAAGCCTGATTATTTTTCTAAGTAACTTCAATTAAATTGAAGAAAGAAAGAAAAAAGTCTTTCTGTGTATGGTTTGTTCATGGGTCGTTAACAAAAGACTGTAGGGGCGGGCTGGGCTGGGCTCCCCAGCACGTGGGAGGCCCGGCTCATGTGCATCAAAGGGTGGAGACGTGGATGCCAGCCGTCTACCCGGCCACGGTAGAGAGCATCGTGGACCCCGATCCTGGTGGGTGGATGAATGGAAGCTTTTCTTCATTCCATTTTTCTGTGAATTCCCTGGAGAGGGATGCCTTGCGATGGGGTGGTGCCGCACTCCTATGGAAAATAAAGCAGGAGACCCCAGGGTTCAGTGGCGTAGTATTCAAACCCAGGGCCATGTGTCTTCAACCCTGTGCTTTGGGCATTGATCATCACACCTCTCTAAGTGACTCCATGGTCCTACACAAGGGAGTTGCCACCCCGCACGTGAAGCCCCGATGTTCTGTTCCTTATCTGGTGCCCCACAGACCTTTCAGCTCCACACATGGGTGCTGCCTTAGGCCGTTTTCTGTTGCTATAACCAAATGCCTGAGGTAGGGACTTAATAAAGAGTTTTACTTGGCTCATGGTTCTGGAGGCTGGAGGGTCAAGTGTCACGGCACTGGTGGCCTAGCAAGGACCCCCTTGTCTGGATCACCACCACATGGCAGAGAAATGGAAAGGGGGCCAATCGCATGCAGGGGGTGAGGCAGCAGCGAGGGAAGTTCAGGAGCCTGCCTCCTGGGAACTCACCAGGGTTCTACAAGAACATTAATCCCTTCAGGGGGTGTGCTCGGTGCCCTCTTAAGGGTTCACCACCTCAGCACCACCACCCTGGGGACCGAGCTTCTAGCACACAAACCCTTGGGGGTGCACCCAGCTACATCCAAAACACGAAGGCATCTTTCACCTCTGTTGGCAAAAGTCATAGATTTTTTTTTCAAAGAAGAAATCACACAGTTGTTTATCATTATATTCTCACTTCCTTAAATGTATTAACTAAACACTTTAACACGACCTCACGGGGTGCGGAGATCTATGGCTTTCCTCATCCGTGCCGGACATGGTCTCTGATGTGGCCACTCACTGGCCGCTCCCGCCCCCAGTGGTCTGGCTCCCACTCGTTCCTGTATGGTGACTGTTCTCGCTCTGGTCCTATCTGGGGGAAATGCCCAGACCACAGGGCTTAGTCACCCTGCACTGACAGAAAACACTTCTTTTTTTAATCAGTGAGTGGATGTAACTTAGCCATGACCTGTCCCTGTCTCACTTGGGACACTGAAGGTTCATGGGAAGCAAAGATGGACGCGGCCCTCTCCGGCCCCCTGTGGCCTGCTTGGAGAGGGGCTGAATGGCCTCTTATCCGTGGCCAGCTAATCCTCAGGAGTTTCCGGTGGCTTCACATGTGCCCCCCATCTGACCCTGCAGAGAGGACCGAGGCAGAGAAGGCTGTGGCCCAGAACATGGCCAGAGGGTGAGAGTGTCATGATCCCTCACCAAGTAGACAGAACAGGAGGAGGCCAAACGCCAGCTAAGATGTCACTGTGCCCACTCTTGGCATGAGCTCCCCTAAGTTACGCCTTTCCTCCACTTTTGGTGTTAAAATAAATGATCTTTTATGATGCTAGACGTTAATTGAGACTAGGAAGTAATTAAAATATTGGCAACTTCATGTCATTCTCTAAAGTCACTGTGAACGTTTTTTTGAAAAAGTCCTGATCTCTGAAAAGTCCAGGAACCACCAGCCGGGAGCCGGGAGCGCATTTGGGGCATGAACTGACCCGGGGCGGGGGGGAAACCCAGGGCTTCCCAGAGGCCAGAATTCTGCAGAAATCCCTCTGGACACACAGATCTGAGCATGACCCGCACTTGGCCGGTGGCCAGGGCCCCCAGTGGAGCCCAGATGACCCACAGGAAGTGGAAGGCATCTTGCCTGCACTCACTGCCACTTACAAAGGTCTAGTCTGCGATGACAGGCACCACCCAGAAACAGACGAGCGGGCGAGAAAGCCCAGCTTCCCCCACCACAGCCCTCGTTGGGGCCAGCTCTTTCCCAAACTGCGA